AAAAAAAAAAAAAACGGAGGTAAAAAAAACCGGTAACCTGGTTGCCGAGTTCACGGTGAATTGGCTTGTTTTACAACGTCGTTGCCAAGCGACGAAAACCCACTCCCGATGGCAAACACCGGGGGGGGCGGCTTGTTTTACAACGTCGTTGCCAAGCGACGAAAACCCAACCCCGATGGCAAACACCGGGGGGGGCGAACACCGGGGGGGGAGGGAATAAAAACAAGAAGAGAGCACACTTCGCGGCGATGCGGTGCAACATGAAACAGCTTGTTGCGGTTCGAAGGCAAAGGGCGCCGTTACAATTTGGTGTGTTCCTGTCCGTTGAACCCCTCCGCCCCACCTTGGTCTCGAGAGCGAGCCAGGGCTTTCCAGCGGTGGAAATGCTCCTCAGCATGCCCCCGCCTGTTGATTGGTGTACGATGGAGTGGGAAAAGTGATGCGGAACGAGCAACACACGAGCGAGAGAGAGGGGGGGGAGTCGGGAACGCAAGATGCAACAGGTTCTTCGTAACAAAGCGGAGGCGAGCATCAGTTTCGGTCATACAGAGGATCGGTCGTCGTAAGAGCGAGAACCGGTGCAGTGTCGAGAAAAAAAACGAGGCATGTTGCCACTCGCATCAAAACCAATTCGGCATCAGAAACGAACGTTGTATGCGACCAACCCCGTACCGCAGATCTCCTCCTTACAGGACGCAATAGAAGTAGACACATACTTTTGTGCTACAACACTTGAATGAAAACGGAAACGCTCTACATTCTCCGACTGCCATCAATACCACAAGCACCAAACACCCGTAGCACGAGCTACAACAGCAGCAGCAACAACAGCCGTAGCACGAGCTACAACAGCCGTAGCACGAGCAACAACAGCCGTAGCACGAGCAACAACAGCAGCAGCAACAACACGACCAGGCCGACAGCCACAACAACAACAACCGTATCACCACATGACCGCAAAAAAAACAAAAGTCGACATACACATAGGCCTCGCAATCACCACACCGCACACGCCTTGCCTGCCATGAAGTCAAGCCCATCGGCAAGCGTGAAGTACTTCCTCCGCTTCCCGAGGTCCGAGAGGGTGTCGAAGATCTCCGGAGACAACAGGATCGCGCCGCACTCCACGCCGTCCCACTTCTGCCGCTTGCCCTGCTCCCGCCTCCCTATAGCCATGACTCGCCTGGACGCCTGCAGAACAATCACATCATACACACAACGCACCATCATTTAGCGATACGATGGTGTTGTCGCAATAGCTATCTAAAAAGTGTAAAGCAATCTTCAAATACCCAAGTGTTGATATTGCGTGCCCCTACTCCCGAACACAACGCCGCCTAATCGTAACAAAAATGTGTTGAAAAAGTAAAGGAGTTGAATCAGCCAAGATTCAACGACAGCTGGGGCGGGGGAAAACGAACAGACACACCACGTCGACAAGCCTTATTCGCTTGATCACACCCTAGTCAGGGTTTAGTCTCTGCACCAACCCTGCGGGGGCGACCTCAACGGGGTCTTCGCACGTTGGAACACGTGACAAGAGTCAAGTCGATCTCTTGATACCCCCCTGCCCTTCCGACGCCCCCCGATCTTTGCCATCGGGGTTGGGTTTCGTCGCTTGGCAACGACGTTGTAAAACAAGCCAATTCACTTTGTGAACTCGGCAACCAGGTTACCGTTATTTTTTTACCTCTGTTTTTTTTTGGCGGTACACATAATGGTGGTCGAGCAGATCATATTGTGCGGGGTCGAAAACCCTCACTCCGCGCAAGGGGGATGATCGCACCACGTTGTGTTAAAATGGTCAAGCACCCTCGAGGCAGTTACACAGTGCTAACAACTTTCTCTGGAAGTGAAGCACCAGAAAATAAATTAAGTCATACGCAGCTGTCATCCGTATGCAAGGAAGTAAGCACAAGATACCGAACACCCTTAGCAGCGACTACGGCATGCACGACTATGAATACACCCCCCTGCCCTACAGTATTCCCAGCCAATGCTGTTACCGTCGACTCCTCTACAACCAGACGCAGGGGAAAATTCCATAGCTACTAAACAACACATCGTCCCCTTTTGAAAACGTCACAAACACCTCAACCTTCCGCCCGGTTTCACACACCTGTTTCTCGGCGCTGCCAGTCTCACCCGCGGAGGGCAACGCGGCCGAAGCGGAATCGGCTTCTGCCCTCCGCACGAAGACCGCCGTAGGTGCCATGTCCCTTCGAAAAAAAAAACAACGAAGAAGGGAAAAATGACGGAAGAGAAGAAACGAAAAGAAAAGGAACAAAAAATTAAAAAAATCAAGTGAACAACAACAGAAGGACTGCAATGTGAGGACTTTGCACAAAATCACGCCCCAACCAGACACCAGGACCTACAAATCGTGAGTTGCCGGACCCTTAACAAGACGATCGCTTCGTAGGCGCGCGTAACAGTTTTCACCGCCCTCCCGTCAGTCTATGACTACGGCGCAGAATCCATCCCACCAACACGCCCAAAGGGCCCACACACAAAACATATGTTGGCTCCCCCCTCTCCCCCCCCCAAGCCGTCATCTGCCAGTCCCCCGATTTCAGTGCATCTATCCCCTTTGCAGCTATAACCCTCACCCCGTCCTCGAGTAACGCACCTGAGGGAGCTCGGTCCAGCGGCATCCTCCACCAGGACACAGCCCCCGTCTTCGCCTAGCTCTTGCCCGGCCAACTGGTGTAGGAGGCCCGGGTGGTAGAGGTGGTCCGACGTCATGAACAAAAACGGGCTGTCGAAGGCGCCTCTGTGCAGCGGACGGGGACATCGGGCGTTAGGGGGGGGGGGGGCGGAGGGGTGAGGGGGGAGACGTACAGAACTAAGGGAGAACAGGGGGCTCCAATTGCGGCAAAAAAATCATCCTTCGCGTATCGTCGGCAAAAGTTCGACGGTCTCTGCCCGAGAGCGAAGGGCAAGGGACTGACCGTACACAAACAGTCAACGCGCTTTTCAAAATGCCAACAAGAGAAGGTGGTAGGTTACCGATTGTCCACGTCGAGACTCTCGACCTTTCAAAGTAGAAACGGAGTGATCCTGCCTGAACACCGATGCTGGTCACACGTGACACAACCTTCAGCGGGAGTCGCAAGCACCACCATACCCCCCCCCGGCGGAAGGTGAACTTTTCCGAACAGTTAAGCCAACAAGTCATACAAAAAAACACAACGCTGGCATGTGCCCCACTCCGTGTACGCAACACTGTGCTCATTGACAAGCGTGTTGCCTCAATACAATCCACCAAACTCCTAGCCCAACGCCGATTTAAGCGATTAGGGCGAACGCAAGCAATGCCAGCATCAGCAAACCCCCTTCCACCCCCTATTTTGCGACAAGGACGAAAAACTCTTCCTCGTGAACCACCTCACAGAGATGAGAAAGCGTGCAGCAGCAACATCAGCAACAACAGAGCAGCAGCAGCAGCAGGGGCAGCAGCACTGGCACGCACCTCGCCCTCAGGATGGACTTGGCGTGGAACTGCCTGGATGGGTCGGTGGGGTCCTCGAGGAACTCTATCGTGATCTTACCCGCGGACACCGCGCGGGTACGGCTGACGGCGTCCCTGATCTTGTCGCCGTCCTTACCCCCGACAACGATCACGACGCGGTCAATACCGCTTCTCACCTGCAGAAAAAAGTGAGAGCGATGAGACGTCGTGCATGCCGTAGTCGTTAGAATATTGACCTCGCATCCCTTCAAAGCCGGGACGGAGCACGCCGGGTTCTCACCCGACAACAAGGGGCGGCTCCGCGGTGGGAAGCAGGGACCGTGGGGGGGAAGCATCATGTTTTCCTCGACCATGATATTGTGAAGTCACACCGCCTCTCGTCAGAATCAAGAGTGAGGCAAATGAGGTAGGCTCTCAAAAATCTCGTTGGGAGAGAGGGGTACGCTGTTGGGCAAGACTCGCTGGCTTCGGATAGGTGAGGAAGCGCAAAGGCTGAGAGAACAACGACCCAAACGCACGGTGTGAGGCTGACGAAACGAGAAGCGACGAAAGACTACAACCTCGCATCAACAATTGGTTGCGGATGTACTTGAAGAACAAACTGTCCTGCCCTGAGGTTATTAATCCTGCCCCACTGTTTTCGCGACAAAGTTCCACGTGTCGTGCGACGTGACCGACCCAAAATACACGGCCGACTCTCGCTCTCCCGAACACACACCAGGTTGAGCAGCACGAGCTCGACAATGGTCTTTCCGCCGGAGCCCCCGAGCAGCCACAGCGGCCGCGGCACCTCCCCGTCTTCCGCCTTACCCGACGCGTTGGCGGGTCTGCTGACGGTAGTCATGAGCGCCTGGCGCACCCCCGAGGGGGGGTACATGGCTGGGACCTGAGAGCACGACCAAAAATGTAGCGTTGCCGAACGTGTGAAATGGCCCAAGAACTTACGTAGTCAAGACTGGTTCGTTGCTCCAGGAGTACGGTCAGAACATGAGCCTGTGTTTTCTGGGTTTGGCATGAAGTCAACTGTCAACGAGGCAGCAGACGAATGGTCAGTCGGTCTCGAACGCATGGCCCTCCCATCCGAGAATATATGATAGAAGTGTGGGGGGGAGAAATTCACCATTCCGCCATACCCCCCCCTTCAGGCGAAGGCGTGGAGAGATCGGTTTCTCCCGCAAGCGCGGGCTTCATAACAAACGCCGAGAACGGACGTTGAAGGGTTTGAGTAACGGTGCACAGGCACATTCTCGAATACCACTTAACTGTCGCAACATGAACGACGGCGACAATGTTGAAGACGGCGACGACACCAACACCAACAACAACACCGCAACGGTTGACCGCCCCTGCCACAATACCCCTCCCACGACGGTAGCGACGTCAGCAGCAACACCAACAACATAACGGTTGAAGAACACCACCAACGCAACAAGGACAGAGTTGGAAGCGCATCGAAGGCACTGACTGACGTCGAGTTGGTCGAGTGTCGGCGATGTCCTCGTCCCGTCCACGGCGACGCCCTCCGCTTCCGAGGTCGCCTCCTTCCGAAGGCTGTGGAGCAGCTCATCGCGCCCGCACCCTGTTCAAGTCAAATTGGCAAATTCAAGCAAAGGGGCGGGAGGGGGGTGTACTCATTGTCGTGCATGCCGTAGTCGTTAGACCATTGACCTCGCATCCCTACAAAGCCGGGACGGAGCACGCCGGGTTCTCACCGGACCAGGCTCTCACATCACCAAGCGCGAAGCGCCGTGAGATATTCGGCG